CAACATTTCAGATACAGAGAATTTTAATCGGCATAGTTAAGAACAACAACATTGCTACCTTATCTTCAGCCCTTTAACAGTCTAATGAACAGAAGTTGGAACACAGCTGAGTCTTGGTCAGTTCTATGAGACAGTGAAGGGATTTCCTCAGTATTTAAATATATTCATATAACCAGTTATATAAATCTAAATATAAAACCAGTCTCCTACAGTTTTGAGATGGCATTCACCATTTTTGTGAAAAGCTGAACTTTATACTAATCAAGAATAATCATATCTTTAGAAGGGGGAAACAATGATAGCACTTGCTGAACCAGAATTACTATCAAAATTCAAAAAGCTGATTGTATTAATTTAACAAGCCAATCAACTGTCTAACAAAAATCTTCTATCAGCCACTCATGATCTGAACTCTGGTGTTCATCTGGTGTATGAGGTCAATTTAAATATGTTACACATAAAAGAAGTCGAGACATTTCTGTTTTGTAAGCAATAAGGCAGTGGCCAACTATTATTCATTAGCAGCTTTTTTGAGATAAGCTATCAAGTCTGCCCTTTCTGCCTTCTTCTTAATGCCATTTCTGTTCCAGGGACGTACTTCTTAGGGTTCTCCAAAAACACCTCTCCCCAGCTGATGCCTTTGCTCTTGCTGGAGGCAGTGTAAGAGAATCCAGGGGCCTCACCTGTCTTTCGCCCAAACAGACCATGGAGTTTTCTTGTGCTTGCCTTCCTTTTCCATGGTGTAGCATTTGGGACAAAAATCTTGCCCTTCTCAGCATCACCTATTTTTACTTCGCTCTTTCAACAAGTGAATTGGGAAGGTCCCTGCTCCAAAGATGGATGTCCCACTAAGTCCAAAAACACGCTAAGACCAAGGTACATGTGCCTATGCGCCGAGGTTCAGAGAAGTGAACTTTAAATCACAAAATGTCACCTTTATATCCCCTGGCCTCACCCATTCGTGAGTGCAAGTATAGCACATTAACAGAAATGCCCCAGATCTCAACTGCAGCTCAGCATTCTTCTGCTCCTGCTGTTGACCATGGTTGCTCTGTGCAAGAGTTGCAGAACTGGCTTTTGCAAATCTTCATGGTACTCTTGGGCTACTGCCTTACTGTTGCCAACCTCCTGTGCCCAGCTGATGAATTATGGTCTCATCATTGCTCTCCTATCTATTCACTCACTTCCAGTGCCCTTTCTCTTTTCTGGACAACTGGAAAGTTCCTTCCACTTCTAGTTACCAGCAATTTTGGGGGCGGGGGGGGACATTCTCCATAGCAGAGCTGCTAGGCACCTCTGATAGTTCTCTCCTTTATTTCAGAACTGTGTTTTTCTCATAATACCCAGGCAAGAGAGTCAGAGGTAAAAGGTAGCCTAAGTTAGGGGGATGCCTGGACACAGCCTCTACTGGTACCCACTGCTCCTTTCAGCCTATAGCATGATTTCTCTTTTTGAGATTTTTCTCTGAGATACCTTTGTTTTGTTTTTTGTTTTGTTTTTTTGAGGAAGATTGGCCCTGAGCTAACATCTGTTGCCAATCTTCCTCCTTTTTTCCTCCCCAAAGCCCCAGTAGACAGTTGTTATGTCATAGTTGTACATCTTTCTAGTTGCTCCATGTGGGATGCCACCTCAGCATGGCTTGATGAGCAGTGCATAGGTCCGCGCCCAGGATCCGAATGGGTGAACCCTGACCCGCCAAAGTGGAAAGCGCGAACTTAATCACTGCCTCACTGCACCGGCCCCGTCTGAGATACCTTTGTTTCTCCCTCTGATTCTGTCCCCTTCAGGGACCTTTGGGTCTACTTTTACAGTCATTTCATGTTTATCATGCGCCAGGCACTGTTAGCACTTTACAAATATTTAATTGTCAAACAACCTTCAGGTAGGTCCTACTAGTAATAAACACCTTTTTACAAGTGAGGAAACCAAGGCAAGTTAAATGTTACCCCCAATCACACAGCTAGTAGGTGGTGGAACCAGGCTTGAAACAAGGCATTTTGGCACCAGAGCACAGATTCAATCTCCACACTCTGCAGTTTCTCCATCAGACAGATTTGTGTATTATCATATCTCAGCCTCACTAATGATTTCAGTTTCTCCTGCAAGATTTCTGGGCTCCCATTGCAAATCAAGGATGTAGCTGGGTATCAGTTTCAACGTCCCCAAATATTCCATGCCAGTTTAATTCCAGGCACTGCCTTCTCACAGCACACAGTAAATTTAATGGGCTGGCAATTTCCTCTCTATAAAATTACAGTTTTCAAAAACAACACTTTTATACTAGATTTTAATAAAGGCAAGTGGTAGCAGGCATTAAAAGGTTAAGAAAAATTCAAGGAGGCTAAACTTTTGGTTGAGAAATTCAGCTCATTAACTTATTTTTTTCGAAGTGAATTTGGAGATGAATCTTTATTTGCTCTTTGTTATATATATACCATATTTTTCACCACCTGCACAGATACCATCTGGTCCAATCAACCATTATTCCTTGACTGAAATATTATTGTATTAGCAGGCTATCTGGTCTTCCTTCTTCCACTTTGACCTCCTACAAGTGATTTCTCCAGAAAGTGGCCGCAGTGACTCTTTTTACGACTTTGAGTCTTGGTTCAAACTCATCTAAGACTTCCCATCTCACTCAGCTCATGTTAAAACTGGGGTATGAGTACTCTTTGGGTACTCCCGTGGAAAAAATTTTTCCAAGGGTATACAAGGATAGTTTTAAGGGAATTAATCACATATACATAAATTAATTATATATACACGTATATATACATATTTTAACTCAGTGCTTACATCTATAAAATGAAAATTGGAATTGATATAGGACCCTATCTGTTCCTAGTAATGTTATATACATCCATATCTACATGAACTAATTGAAAAAAAAATTACCAGCCATTTCACTAAGACATTCCCAATAACACTTTTTCATGTTTAATATTTAATAAAATACCACCTTTTTTTGATTATGTACTTTTACAATGGATGACAGTGTTTGTTAAACCACCTGTTTACTTTTCCATTGGATAGATTTAAAAGAACGTAACAATTAAAAAATGTCAGTATTGCAAAACGTCAGAAATTGCACTTTTTGCAACTTCACTCATAACGAAAAATTTGAGTCAACTTACGTTTCAGGGTAGAAAATAGTTTTTCAAAGTTCTTTTCAAGGGCACAAAACTTAAAAAAATTGAAGACCATTTCTGTATATGATCTGCCCCCCTTAATACTCATCTCATGTTCTACTACTCTTTCCCTTGTTCCAGCCACTGCAGCCACATTGACTCCTTGCTGTTCCTCTAACAAACCAAGAATCCCTCTCTGCCTCCGACCCTTTATACTTACTGTTCCTTTCCTGAAACACTATTCTTTCTGCAGGAGAGCCACAAAGTTTGTTAACCTATCAACAGAGGCCTTCCTCAATCATCTCCAATCTCTTTTACTCTGCTTATTTTTCCTTCATAGCATTTATCACTCCCTGGCATATATTTATTTGTCAATCTTCCCCCCATTAGATTGTAACTTCCTTGAAGGCAAGGATGTCCTTTGTTCTCTGCTGTAATCCTAGCGTCTCTAAAACGCTACCTGTTACATAGTAAGAGGTCAGTATTTTTGAACGAGTAAGTGACAAACGTTTCGAGGTGGCTTATTGTAAGGACTTATGCCAGCTCAAAGAATAAGTCTCTTGGGAATACGGAAGAAGAAAGCACTTCATGATCCTAACACTAAAACAGCTGTGCACTACATAAAAATCCCCACAGGACTTGTTTTTCAAATAAAGACAATCCTTTCTGAAAGCTTCTATTACCCATATTGTTACGGCATTTATAACCCAACTCATGACAGGATACAAAGTGGCACTCTCAGGACACAATATTGGTTAGATCCGTGGCTCCCCAAACTGACGCACGTCAGAAACAGCTGAAGCGACTTTTCAACACCCAGCAGCCTCTCCCCCACTTCCCGATACAGGTCTGAGGTGTGGCCCTGGCACCACTGCTTTGAAAGAGCTCCTCAGTTGAGTGGCTTTCTGATACGCAGCAACGTCTGAGAATCAATCACCTTAAGAAACTAAAAATGGCTGTTAAAAAGTTTCTTCCTCACCCAGCCTTCTCAGCCTATTTCTAGTACTCTCCCAGCTTAAGGAAAAAACCCGCTTTATTGCTCCCCTTTGGCACAATCGCCCAAAGGAACGCGGGTCCCAAAGACCCTCCTGGGAGGTCGGCACCTCGGAGCCAGGAGGCTCCGGCGTCCGACCGCGCGGCACGCGAGGTTTCTGCGGAGACGCGCCCGCCCCTGGGGACGGCGCCGCCCGGGAGACGCTCGCTCGGCAAGAACCGCCCCGGCCTCCTAGCCTTCCACCCTTTCCCGCTCTTCTCCCCGCACCACCGCTGCCTCCGAGCTCGTAACCACCACGGACCAAAGGCAGCTGAGCGTCAAAGGCCCCTGACTCGAACAGCTCACTGCGCGTAGAGACGCCGTGGCGCGGACGCAACGCGTCGGCCCCGGCAGTTGGGGGGGGGCGGCGAGGACAGCTCCGCGCCCGCGCCCCGAGTTCCCGCCTCCCTCCAGAGGACGTCCGTGCGTGCGTGCGAGCGCCGCGCCCGCCCTCCTGCAACCGCGCGACGCGAGGGCGGGGGC